TGTCAGCTTAACCTATGACCAGGTTCTCTAGCAGGATTTCTTGTTCTGTGAGTCCTTCATGGAGTTACTTCCCCTGTCTTGACAGAGACAGAGAGTTCTTTATCTCCTGTCTTCTGTGCTTGTGAAAGTTAAAATGTCCTGGTCCATATATTGTGGAAATCAGGCTGGGAAGGGGCAAAATCAAAGCTGAGAATCTGGTATTGTCCATTAGCAGCTCTTAAGCACTGTTTAAATATTGATTACTTACCTTGTACCATAATTTTCTTCCCTTTCCATCTTTCTGGACAAATTCTTTTTGAATTATATCAATATACCATATAGAAAATATCACATACATCAACCTGACATGCAATAACAGTGAACTATAGCATGGCAGCTCCAAATCCATCAAAACAAATATTAGACGTAGCAAAAGTGTTGTAACAGCACTGGAAGCCATCTCTGAAAAATGTTTTGAAAATTTACAAGATGACAATCATTTGTCTTATCAAGAGTCAAGGAACTGTAAGTAACATGTGAGTAATAAACTCCAGATGGAGCTGAGAAATGACATACTTATTTCTGAGAGAAAGCGTTCGGTTGGAAAGATGCAGTGCCACGAGCTGAGTGTAAATCAAGTTGGAAGGTGACAAAAGCATGACCTACCGCTTTCCTACATGCAGTGGAATTCTGCTTTAAGGACTCAAAGTTTTCCATGCCTGAGTTTAGGAGGTTTATCTCCGGTTGCCTTTCTGAAGCTATTGTCACAGCTGTCTCCTCCAGCTGCCTTTGGGTTCCCTACTAGCTAACATTAATATCTAAAAAGAGGGAAAAAATAATGTCAGCCACTGAAATTGTCTTCTAGTGAGGAAGCATAGAGATCCATTATGATTTTTTTCCTTTTTGCAGCTTGTTGGAGGTGAAAACTATTGATTGAAGCTGGAAAAGAGTGGCCTGACCCTGCCTATCTATAAAACTACCAAAGCAGCTCCCCAGAGTACATACACTATTAAGGAAAAACAAAAATATCCAGGATTTAAAATAAAAAGTAGTACTTGTAAGAACTGCTGCAGAATAATTATTTTTTTTTCTTTCAGCAAGCTCAATAGAAATGATTCATAAAGAACAAGGATTGTGCATAATTTCCCCAAACAAGGTGATACTGCAGGGGAGACAGGACACACAGGCAGTTGTTGCTAGAAGAGAGTAGGTTTTGGTGTCCCTTGGGCAGTTGACTGCTCTGCTGCGAGGGTGCCCAGCTACAGTAATGATCAGAGAGGGAAAAGTAAATGTGCAAGCCTCCCCCAGCAGACAGTTTGAGTCACGCCGAGGCACTCGGTTAAGATGAGGCAGCAGCTGTGCCCCAGCCAGCTTCTTTGGGGCTGCCTCTGGGGCTCGGGCTCAGCCGCGGGGTGGGCTGCACAGGGCTCTTTGCTAGGAAGAGGCGGGAATGCAATGCTGGTGAAAGGGGTTTCAGAGGGGAAAAAAAACCAACAAAATGAGATAGGCTGCCAGATCTGACTGCTGTTCCTAAGGACACATTGGCACATGGAATAATTTAGATTGGAAGGTATCTCTGGAGGCCAACTAGTCCAACCCTCACTAACAACAACCCTCAAAGTGGGGCCAACCCCACAGCTAGATGCTGCTGCTGGCATGCGGTGTGCAGTCACATTGCTCATGCAAAAGTAACAGCTCAGTTAACTTTGTCACCTATACTGATGCTTGTTTAAAGCCAGAAGGATGGCTGAAGGACCAGGAATGGTGAATATGACTACAGCAGCTGTTGTAGGTAGGCGGAAATGTTTCAGAGACAGGTATGAAAGCTGTAAAATACAAGAGCTGCATCATCTTTGTTTTTATAAATGTCTTTCTTTTAGTATCTGATCTCCACTATTACCACTGAAACTACCAATCAGGTTGAAAATGTATTCAATTTTAATATTTAGAGGTAACTAACAGGAAAAAACAGATGGACGGCTAATTTCGTGCTTCCTCGTTAAATAAAGACTCACCATTCACTGCAAGCTGACTACTGCTTTTCTACAATGTCTTTCTTTTAGTATCTGATCTCCACTATTACCACTCAAACTACCAATCAGGTTGAAAACGGTATTCAATTTTAATATTTAGAGGTAACTAACAGGAAAAAACAGATGGACGGCTAATTTCGTGCTTCCTCGTTAAATAAAGACTCACCATTCACTGCCAGCTGACTACTGCTTTTCTAATTAAGTCATCAGCTAAACACAGAGCAATGTTTTCCAACAAATGCCACTAGACTGATGAAGATGTCCTGTACATTTTCCCCATGCTCAGACTCAAAGTCAGGAACAATTTAAAGGATTGCTTACTTGAAACAGTTTAACTTGATCAGAAATTACCTGTCATCTCAGGGAAATAAAAACTTTTGCTAGTCTGGCACCATTATTTGGCAACTTCATTTTTTTTTCCTGTGTTAAGTATTTGCTGATTTTACAAAGGGTTTGCAAACCCTTGACTAAACTTTGACTTCTTGTCCATGGCAACTCCCTATTCATACCTATCTCGGATCAGGCCCAGCCACACCATGCTCTGCAGTGCAAGCTCTTCCCGGCAAGCTCTTAATGATGCATCCAAGACCTTCAGCCTACATCCATCTTCCTTAGCCTCTCTAAAACATCTTTCCTCCTCAAAGTCTTATTTTCCCTAATGCTCCCCTTGCATAGTTGTCTTTTTCTTCCTATATTTCTTGACAGGTTTTTCCTCCCCTTTCCTCCCCTCTCTACAGCAGGGTTCATACAGACCTGCCTGTTCAAGTTCTCTTGTCACTTCTACATAATTTCTCTGAGCGTTATTTCCTCCTTTCTCTACACCTCCAACTCACCATCCTGCCTTTGGGTTTCTGACTCTCTCTAATCCCTAAATTTATCATAGTCCTACTGGAGCGAGCCCCCCGCTCTCTCCCCCCATCTCAGTGCTGTTGTCAGGATACCCATGGCTGGGGGTGTTCACGTCTGTCAGATTTCATTCTGTCTTATATGTGTCCAGGCCATAACCAGAAGTTTTTCAGTCTGTGTAAGCAGCCAGTGCTTTAGAGTGTGTTCATACATCACAGAATCACAGAATCACAGAATGGTAGAGGTTGGAAGGGACCTCTGGAGATCATCTAGTCCAACCTCCCTGCTAAAGCAGGTTCACCTACAGCAGATTGCACAGGATCACATCCAGGCAGGTTTTGAATATCTTAGCCCTGAACATCCCTAGCCCTGAAGACTGCACCCATCAACCAGTTGGCCTGCCCAGAAGACATACTCTTCAAATGCTATTTTACATGCTATTTTTATCTTGTCACTCTCCTCCCGTATCCTATCTTTGTTGTTCCCTTTCTACCACATTAAAATTGACTCCCATATTATCACTTTTAGGGACCTGTACCTGCACAGGTAGGGTTGCACACAACTCAGGTTGCACTCAGCTTCTGCTCTTCTGCTTGTGCCAACCTCAGCTCTCTTCTCTGCAAGCTTTGTCTTCACCACCTCCACATAGTGCAACCTCTCTCCTGTTCCTGGCATTTGATTTTTTTTTCCTTCTCAAACCCACTTCTAACATGACTTCTGAAAGGAAAACAGTCAACATAGGCAGTGGAGGACTTATTGTATGTGTATCATTTGTACTTTTGCTCCATCTTTCCCTCATGGATCACATCATCTCCCAAGGTGAGCTGTCTCTCTTGAGTGCATAGCACATCCTAGACACAGCAAAAACATGTTAGGAGCTATGTATGTCCTGAGACACTTCGATCTGGCTCATCCACATCCCTTTAAATCTTCAGAGTCCCTCACCACAGTGATATACACAGGTGTTTCAGCATGTGAGATTAATTTTGTTGATCTTCCTGAATGGAGATAGATGATGGGATTGAACTT